TACATGAAAACAGATTTCTCATACATAGATTTGATGAAGTTTTCATTCTTAAACAGGACTCTTCTAGTATTTATTTTACCAATTTTACTCCTCGAGTATTTAAGTACTGAAGCTTAATTAACCAGCCAGCTTATACATCATTTTCTTAAAACTGATTCTTCGAAGATTCATAAAACTGAAAGCTAGTTAGGATTTTTTTGTTTCGTTACGAAATGTAGTGTCTTTAAGGAAATCAAGGCAAAGGAATGCCATTGCTAATATTCATAAAGTTGAGTTCTATAATTCAATCTGATATCACTATGCTAATTGTATTGACAAGTGTTTGCAACGTATCTAACTACAAAGTTAGGTAAAAAGTCGAAAGAACAAACGGTTAATCTTCAGATTATGGTAACTTGGCGATTTTTTGGCAAAAAATTTGGCGACCAACCCTGCTACAGCAACCTGCTAGTTTTGTTTTGGACGCCATTTAGCTTTCACGAAGTAAAAGCTTTTTTTTTTTTTAAACTCAAAATTTTTTCCAACAATCTGCTAGCCGACTTACGCTTATACTAGAACTTTTATGGAACAAAAATGCTTAATCATGACGAAGATTAGGTGCGAAATTGGGAGAAAGTGCAGAATCGTCCACTGCTTGCCGCGTTTTTAAGAATTGCACATACACGGTATCATCCATGCACACGTATTATTACTTAAAAAAACTTCTCAGAATTGCACAAAAATGGCATTGCACACACTCTTAACTTTATCCATGTACACTGCTAAATTCCTAGCTAGTAACCTTTATCACCTTACCAAAATGTCGCCAAACTACCTGTTACCATATTCAAATTCAGCCGAACAAACGGTTAAAAGTTAGGTAAAAGGTCAAAGAGAGGTAGGTCAAAAGAACAATTTGTAGCATTTTTATTCTCAAACTACGGTGTGAAAAAATATTTTCTAATTCCTAATGAGTATAACATTATTATTCTCAAGATATTATACCTTCCTTTAATTCAGAGTCTTTTCTTAACATTGTAATGACCGTCACTACCATGTTTCACGGCGAAGAAATACTTTTGATAAAAACACCGACTATTCCTTTAAAAATTACTCGATATCAAAGCAGCCTGTCCATATAACATTCGAGCTGAATTTGACACTACTAATATTGTACTGTAAAGAGAATTTGAAGAGCAATCTGTGTTTCAAAAATATTGTTGGTACTCGCGTATTAAGAGTTGACAATCGCCAAGTGTGCACCAAGGCGCCAAATGTGGTACCCTTTTTATATATCGTCATGAAAGTTGTGCAGTGACATCCTCGCCAATAAGCGGCAAGAATGAACTTCAATCCAGAAATTTTTCATCCTAGATTTTCATTTGCTTAATTAGATACAATTCCATTTGCTTAGTTAGCAGCTGAATTAGTAGCTGCCAAATCTAAACACTATAACTTAAACACAACGTTAATACAACATTATTAATCTTGATATGGGATGCCATGAAATAAACATCAGTGCGGCCATTAAGACTCTTCCCACTTCGAATCCACGTAGCAGCAATCGCATAAAAAGAAGCAAATGTTTTCGAGAATGTTAAATGAAATCGGCAATTAATCTGTAAAATCTATTTTGCACTTTTTTAAATTTGTTTTTATTCATTCACTAGATCTGATGTTTTCAGTAGAATTCTATTAGTTGAATCTGTACACATTTATTCCACAAGGGAAGCCTTTAGAAATTATACAAATTTTTATAGAATCTCTCGTAAAATTCCTTATCGAATATCTTTACATCTCTAAACATTACTGTAAAAACTATATTTCAAATTGCATCGAATTCTAGATCTCTGCTGTAATTTAAATTAAACTGGATTATAATTCTAAAGGATTTTAAGGAAGTTTAACATTGGATTTTTTATAGAATTTTGTCAGATAGTTTGGTGACAGCAAACAGGTATTTACTGGTTATTCGCAAAATTCACCACTAATAGCTAACATTTCAATATTAAAATCCATCATGGTCAATCTTTGGATTATGGTAACTTGGCGATTTTTTGGCTAAAATTTGGCGACCAATCCTGCTACAGCAACCTGCTAGTTTTGTTTTGGACACCATTTTGTTTTCACGAAGTAAAGGCCCCCCTTTTTTTTTTTTTTTTTTTTTTTTTTCTTTTTCTCAACATTTTTTTTCCAACAATCTGCTAGCCGAATTACGCTTATGCTAGAACTTTTATGGAACAAAAGTGCTTAATCATGACGAAGATTAGGTGCGAAATTGGGATAAAGTGCAGAATGGCCCAGTGCTTGCCGCGTTTTTAAGATTTGCACATACACTGTATCATCCATGTACACATCGACCTATTTTCACTTAAAAAAACATCCCAGAATTGCACAAAAATGACATTGCGCACACTCTTGACTTTATCCATGTACACTGCTAAAGTCCTAAGCTAGTACCTTTATCGCCTTACCAAAATGTCGCCAAACTATCTGTTACCATATTCCAATGATTAGCCTCAATCTTAAAAGTTGCATATTTAAATGGCTAATCTTTAGAATATGGTAACGGGTACTTTGGCGACATTTTGGTAAGGCGATAAAGGTTACTAGCTAGGACTTTAGCAATAATCTGAGAAGTACACAGTTCAAATCACAGATTATTTTGTCTCAGAGAAATGAGAGATCATGAGACATGTAATGTGACATTTTCTGGAAACTTCCGATTGTGATTTTAGTTAATAAGCACATAGAAACAATTTCGCTGCTAAAGTGCAGAAACTCCCACTTATTTGTTTGGCGCTTTTTACATGAGTAAGAAGAATTGGATTTTTGTCGATTTTCTTTGACGTTTTAAGTGAAAATAGGTCGATGTGTACATAGATAAAGTCGAGTGTGCGCAATGCCATTTTTAGGCAATTCTGGGATGTTTTTTTAAGCGAAAATAGGTCGACGTGTACATGGATACCGTGTATGTGGAATTTTTAAAAACTCAGCAGTTTGCGATTCTGCACTTTCTCCCAATTTTGCACCTAATCTTCGTCATGATTAAGCATTTTTGTTCCATAAAAGTTCTAGTATAAGCGTAATTCGACTATCAGATTGTTGGAAAAAATGTTGAGTTAAAAAAAAAAATGCCTTTACTTCGTGAAAACAAAATGGCGTCCAAAACAAAACTAGCGGGTTGCTGTAGCAGGGTTGGTGGCCATATTTTCACCAAAAAATCGTCAAGTTACCATAATGTAAAGATTCACCATTTAAATTAGTCAACTTAAGGAAATAACTATGCACTGATATAATGCTGAAACTCAATAAACTATTCAAAATCTGGCTAATCTTTGGAATTTGGTAACAGGTAGATTGGCGACATTTTGGTTAGGCGATTAAGGTTACTAGCTAGGACTTTAGCAGTGTACACAGATAAAATCAAGAGTGTGCGCAATGCCATTTTTGTGCAATTCTGAGATGTTTTTTTAAGTGAAAATAGGTCGACGTGTACATGGATGATACCGTGTATGTGCAATTCTTAAAAAAAACGCAGCAAGCAGTGGGCGATTCTGCACTTTCTCCCAATTCCGCACCTAATCTTCGTCATGATTAAGCATTTTTGTTCCATAAAAGTTCTAGCATAAGCGTAATTCGGCTAGCAGATTGTTGGAAAAAATATTGAGTAAAAAAAAAAAAAAAAAAAAAAAGTGCCTTTACTTTCTGAAAACAAAATGGCGTCCAAACAAAAACTAGCAGGTTGCTGTAGCAGGATTGGTCGGCAAATTTTGGCCAAAAAATCGCCAAGTTACCATAATCCAAAGATTAACCCAAAATCCTAATGTTCCATAATTAAGATCAATCTTAAAATTTGTATACATCTAAATGACTATTTCATTTAAAGTAATGATTTAGTAATACAATTATAGAAATCTGCAATATATTCAGAATATCACTATTTTATTAATAAAACTAATCTTAAAAATACTGGACGAAAATGAACGTTTCAAAAGGAAAATGACTAACGCATGACAGAACAGTATAGTATTCAAAATTTCAATATTTCATTATTAAAAATTAATTACAAAGATCATAATTTCCGACCAATCATTTAAGCGAAACGTATGTTATTAATTATTCTCAGAAGATAATGAAAATTATAATTTATATTACACATTCATATAACGCATCTATCAGAACCATCTTGCTATCAAAAATCCATTTGACGAATTGGCGATTTTTCGAAACTCTCCAAACTGTTCCGTAAGCCAGGTTTTGCCTTATGGGTGATTACATAAAAAATCACTAAATAATCCTTATTATTAAAAATAATTACTCGATGCTTTTATTTCACAATGTAAGTATTAAAACTTATATGAGTAAGCGTAATTTTGCACACGTGGTCAAAGCACTCTAAAATAAAGACAAAATTATTTCACATACTTGCTTTTATTACAGGGTAACACACTCGCAAAATTTCCAGCATAAAATCATAATTTGCTGAAAAATTCATATTAAATACAACGTTTACTCACAAATTAGAATTTCAAAATCAATATTTACTCAAATTCTCATTTTAAAAAGGAATATTTACTCAAAATTCTCATTTTAAAAAAGGAATATTCACTCGAAAATTGCAGTTAAAAAACCAAATTCGCTCAAAACTTCATCTTTAAAAATCAAAATTCAGCTCATTTTGAACAATTTACCATATCATTTATTATAATTCTTTTAACGTAACTATTCTAAAATTAATGTTTATACAAAAGTTCCGATATAGAAATCAAAGTTAGGAATGTCTCGAACAGTCTGAGAGACAAATAAGCCCGATACTCTTAAAAATTACTATCAGAGGAAGCTGCATCATGTACGACTCTGCAAGAAATAAAGAAACTTGCATATCAGTTATATTTAACACAAATCAAAATCAGTTTCTTGTCGGGTGAGTTTCTGGCGTCATAAACAGCACAGCATTGTTATTTCGTTAAGACCACTCGTAATGTCCATGAAAGGCAATAGTTGCAGATCCAAGATTATTAACAGCCTAAGAAATTAGCGGCCATCAGCAATTCCACGGCTATTTCACCCTCAATCGGAAACACCGATATTTCATCCGAACTATTGTCGTAACAGATCTTGTAGGTGAAATATTGGCACAATTTCTGCAGGACGTGGGATGGTATCTCTTTGAAATAGATTTCGTTGACTTCGTTTTCGGCAAATCGTCTGGGACCACTCAACATGCATTCGATCCTTCTGGAAACAAAAGCGTATTCTTTCTTTATGATGAACTCATGATCGTCCGAAGAAATGAGTTTAACATACTCAGCATCTAACCCTTCGCAGCCTCCATATGTTTGTTTTTCTTCAAAGATATCCATCTAACAATTAATCCACAGCGCAAAAGTACAAACAAGCTTCAAATCGCGAGCAACCTTCAGGTCTGTGAGCAGAAATGCTACTGAACTTAGAATCCAGAAAAGAGCCAGGTGAAAATTTACAATTGGGTGCCCCTTGTTTCTTGGCGATTCATTTTTGACGCCAAGATCGGCGCGAGAAAGGCACAGTTTCAAGATGGCCGTTACGCAAAACCAAAATAAGAAGTCAAAGAATTGCACAAGCTCTGTGTCCATGTACACATCGATCTGTTTTCACTTAAAAAAAATCCTAGAATTGCACAAACTAGGCATTACGCACTGCCTTAAATTTGTTCATGTGCACATCAATCTATTTTCATTTGAATAAAATCAGGAAGCTAAAAGGAAGTTAAAACTATCATGGTAACCAGAAGTGAGGTTTCATCGCCGAAGTGTTTAAAAAATTATCGCTAATCGAAGGGGCACCCAATTCTACGCTAGGGCAAGAGTCGCACAAGAAACAGAGAACATCTATGCAACAAAGAACATAATACATATTCTTAGCAAGAAATTTCGCAGAACAATACATCTTTTGTCATTCGTCATCTATGGCTCTGACGTCATCTGTTTTGAGAAACCTAATTCAGACCTTTGTTATCAAAGAATTCAGGAAGTTCCCTGCAGGTCTTTATTCATCAGTCCCATTGCACCAGCTTGTTATTTACTATTCACCTTTTTTAAAAGCATTTCAGACGCTTTTGCAGTGCAGAACAAGCAGTGTGACATGCAGAGTTACTTTAACCATGAAGCAAAATAAGCTCGTGCTTATGACATCAAGGAAAGAAGACCACCCACAAAAATTTCCGATTTTACCGAGGATTGTATGGGCAGCACGTTTTTGGAGCATTCTTTTCCAAGTAAAACATTTTATAGAGGTTAGTTACATGGAATGTCGAGGCAGGTGGAAAATAATCATAGCCTAAATTGCCCTTCAAAATTAAATTGACGAAAAAATTAGTTTTTCTTTCTCCAGATTAAAGTATTTAAAGAAATCGCCAAGCGATTTCAACGTCATAACTTTTATTCAGGAGAAACTTCTGAAGGAAAATTAGGAATATCAACTAAATTATGATCAAGTTGACATTAATAAGAAAAATAAACCTAGTTAAGACAGAAGTATTTCAGATTCATTTCCGTTAATATTTTTTAAAAAAAAAAGAACGTTGAAAAGAGGTCCTTTTGAATTTTTGCAGTTTATTCTAGAAAACAGTCTCCATAACAAAATTCCAAGTATTGTAATACTATTACTATCTTTCCTAAGAATTGCTGCAAGTGTTCTTAGTTGTGATAAGAGTTTTCTAAAAAAAATAAAATGCATTTAAGAACTAACAATGTATACTTTGTATTTAAGAAATTTTTCTATACTCTCTTACCCATAACAGCAACTGAAGCAATTAAACTGTTCTCTATGACGTCGTCAATGGTTTTGGAAAAAAAAAAGAAAAAAAAGGTTTTAGCTGAGCCACTGTTCTTTAAATTTTGTTAATAAATGTTTTAATTTTTACAAAAACTGAAAAATAACTGTGTATGAAAAAAATGAAATAAGGAATATCATAGAAATTACAATAGCAAACAAATTTCATGATATGCACAATTTGTGCCAGAAGTTCCCACTCACTATTTTCTTCTCTCACCTCAGTTGATCTTTGGAACTCTTCTCAACTCTCAGTTGATCTTTGGAAGGTTTTAAGAACCAAACAGAGATTTTTAAAAAAAGGTTTTACATTCCGCTAAATGTTTCCCCATTTAACACTGTCTTTAAATCTAAAATTTATTGAGAGTCAAAGAAGATCTTATTGATGAAATACTTTTCATCCAGCTTAACCCTCTAAGCGGCAAGGGCGTATATATACGGCCTAGAATATTTTTTGTAATATTATTTATATATATTTGTGTAAGAACGTATACATACGTACATATTAAAATATGCCAAAGAAATTCAGGCAATATATCAAAAGTACACAAATCCAGGTATGAAAGACGAGGAGAGTTTTTACATTTAAAATAAAAAAATAATTTGTTCTCATAGTAGTTTTGGGAAATTTGTGGTTTTGGGATAAAAAGGTGTTTTCCCCCCCCCCCGCAGAGTGTTGCAATTGCTCGCTTGAAATCCTTGAGTTTGTTATCAAAATTCGTTAAAGTTTACAAAATAGGAAATTGATCATAACAAATTCCATTTCATTTGGGCTTCCACTGCCTATTTCGTAGGAGGATACGTCATTCAAAATTCGAGGCTCAGGTACCGTTGTTATCACAATGCGAGAAATAGACATAATTATGCAGATATTCAATTAATTTCTTCAAATATAATGCAGGACTCTAACATTTTGTGGCAACAGTTTGAAAAGTGAAACGGACATTTATAGCGAACCAACGAAAAATCGCAAACAAAAACAATAGTCCTTCAGGGACAGGATAACTTTGGACTAATGGGAAGGTAAATAAACTACACGGTATACATTTTAACAAAATATTTATTTTGAGAAGAACACGAACAAAATAGAACTTAAGAAAATGAAAAAGTGTGAACGCTCAGATAAGCCCCCGAGGATTGAAATATTGAACCCTCGGACGATATCTCTTCCACAAGCCATCTGCTAAATTTCTACCTGAATTATCCATTCACGTCTGTCTACCTTTCAAAACACCTTTCATTTTCAGAAATACATTTTACAATGCTTTGGAAAGACAGCTACTTTTTGTCAGCCTGCATTGTTTCCATTATGCCATTATGGATCATGTGTAACGCTTTGGATCCGTTTTTTTCTCTCATAGAAGGAAAAGCGTCAAACAATTTTTTACCAAAACCCAAAGTATGGCCCAACGTTGCTTATTGCCCACCTTTCAATTAAATATGTTATTCTTTGTTTTCTTATCAAATACTATTTCTTTATCGACATTATTTGTCGATGGAATAAGTGTATTACCCTTTGTTCTTCTTTTCTCCTTTTTGTAACTGACATAACCATTTTAAGAGATATATTTCTTATATTTCGGCAAGTTTATTGTATTCAAAATCAGTTGATGGCAGAAGTTCTTGAAAGTATCAAACCTTTGCATGCATCCTATTATAGAACAGTGTTTGGCACTTATCGTCCTATAATGGAAAATATTCTTTATTTTTAATAAAGAATAATCTATTTCAGGGGTTCTCAACCGGTGGTACGCAAAGAAGCAAAGTAGTCCAAAGGGGCTTTGTCCCTGAAGGACTACTGTTTTCGTCGTTTTGCGATTTTGAGTTGAAAACTTTAAAAGGCTGTATCACATTTCAAATCGTTGCCAGTATATATTATCGCCTTGCCTTCTATTTAAAGAAATTAAATAATGAAGAATATGCATAAATGTATGTATGTTTCTCGCACTGTGATAAAACAACGGTACCTAAAGCCATCCAATTTTGAATGATATAATCCAACTACGAATATACGCATCTGGAAGCCAAAATTTGAAATTTGGAATTGGTTTTCTTATCGATTTCGTATTTTGTAAAACTGTAACGATTTTTTTATTAACAAACTCAACGATTTCAAAGCAAGCACTGACAACACTCTACGGGGAAAAAAACATTTTTATCTCCAGCGCGTGAGGCTGCGTATAGGAAATTTTAAAGATATGCTCAATTTAAAATTATTAACTATTAAATTCAAAAACTAAAGCCCCAAAATCCTGATTGAGTTGTTTTCTCTAACACTCGTAAATTTATACGATCTCTGAGCTTTGTTAAAGAGTGGTGGTGGTAAGTAGTACTTTGTAGTGGTGGTAAAGACATTTTTTAAATTTTTGTTTAGATAGTATGCGTTAGTCAAAAGGGTGAAAACCGCTAATCTATTTGACAATTTTCTGATTTAATATATATAAGGTAGGAAGGTAAATAAAACTTATTTCCATCATTTAAGAATGTATAACACAGGTGTAAATTACTCCCTAGCTTTCACGAAAATAGATTATTTCTATGAAACATTTCCTAAGAAGAATTTAAACGAAAGACATGAAATTTCGTTAGAATAAGAAAATAGAAAAAGACACATACATTTAATTTATAGAGGATAAATTCTCTAGTACTTCTGAGTTTCCTAAAAAAACATATTATATGACACTAAATAACATATAAAACATTAAATAACTCTACAAACATAAAATTTATGATAAATGAAGCCCAGGATAAGTAGAAATAATGCATGAATGTGCTTTTATATTCAAAAACTTGAAACAAAGTGATCACAGTGAAAGACCTGGAAGTGGTGATAATAACAATAATGTGTTAAGCTGAATCATTGGAGATTCGATAATTGAAAATATACGACTGGATTATGCAATGACGACCAAGCACATGAAGCTTATCTGCCTAAGGCTGGTATCACACATCCATTTATTTCAGACAAACAACTGTTGGTACTGTTCTGTTATCGGGACAGCATTCAGATATTGCCGAAAGCTACAGATCTTGCTGAATTTCGAAGCATAAAAATAATCGCTAAAATATTTAGGATACGATTAAGTTGAAGAAAATGGAAAAAATAACATTAGCTGATATTCGTAAAATTCGAACAAATAATAGCTACATCATTAAAATTTGTATTCTCGTTTCCAATTTTGTAAAGGCATTCTTTTACTTTTAAGAAAAGTAAACATTGTCACGATTTTAGAAATAAGCACTAACAACCACTTCCGACTCGGTGAACCGAAGATTCAGTGAAAACGGGCTCCCGGTTAAAATCCTATCCCAATAGAATATTTTTTTATTATTATTAGTCCAAAGGGGCTTTGTCCCTGAAGGACTATTGTTTTCGTTTTGCGATTTTGCGTCGGACTCATAAACCGTTCACTTTTCAACTGTTGCCACAAAAGTTAGAGTCCTGCATTATATTGAAGATATTAATAATGAAAATCTGCTAAGATTTGTCTATTTCTCGCATGTGATAAAAACAATGGTACATAGAGCATCGAATTTGAATGACGAAATC